TAATTTAATTGTTTTTCTCACACACTGAGTACTCACTAATGCTACTGAAATTCGGTTTTTGCACATCTGCTCGTGTGGTACGTGCGGTCGCATAGCGGCTTGCTCGACGGGTCAATCGATTATTCTGCCTGACCGTGCGCGTTCCACCTTAGAGCACGTTTGTACTTCGCGACTTGGTCGCTTTGATCGCGCGAGCGTTTGATCGCTCTGTTTGCGCGTGCGATTTGATCGCGCACGGCTGAATGCGAAAAGGCCGAGAAGTGACCAAGTCGCTCGCGCGATTACAGCGCCCGTGTCGCGAGGTATGAACACACTCTTACCAGGATGACACAGTTCTGGTATGCCTTGAAACCCAGGTAATTTTTTTGCGACACTAAAATTCCGCTGGGCTTCGCGAAGGCGTCTCCGTACGTTATAATTCTCTGATCTCTTTGTTTGTTCATTGTTTTTTAAACACATTTACGCCGGTTTCTAACGTTTCAGGATGTTATGCCGTAATACGATCGATTATTTGATGCTTCATCTGCTAAAAAGGCTCTACTGGATCTTGTTCAGCGAAGTAAATCTAGTAACAATCACCCAGCTGATTCAAACGGCAATTTTCTGTTCGGATGGATCGCTGCCTTCCGATCAGGAGAAAAGTCTTCGAGAAGAGCTGGCTACAAGGCGGGCGCTGGAGTTCGCTCAAGAAGAGGTAAAGGGTTGTTTCATTGAGCGTCAAGGATTCAAAGACTCCTGGTCTTGCTTCAGATGCCGTCATGCGTGCTACGAGTACTCGATTCGAAAAGTTGGCGTGGTGGAGTTGAAAAGATTGGTGAATTGTGAACACCCTGCAGTATCCTCGGCTTAACAAACATCTCTCGTATCTTCTTGTTGACCTGCTTGTCACAAAGCTTTTTCCTGAAGATTTGTCTTGAAACGTCTACAGTCTTGTTCTGGGGACCTGCGGACCCTGGACGTCCAGGGGCTGGCTTTGGCGGCGCCTGCGCCTGTTTTCCACCAAATGTGGTCAACTGGCCGAGCTTCGTGCAAAGTTGGTGGGAATGGCGGTTGACGCACGCGAAACCCCAGTCCCTTGCACCTCTGCCCCATAATCTCGGCCGCGACAAATGTGTTATTATTTATTCTTCTTCTACTCGGTGTTGTGATAGTCTTGCCATAGTATAATAAACTCGTGATCTCATAGTTCATCCTCGCATCAATGGACATCAAGGACATGCTTTCCCAAAGAATGCTGTTCTCTTCGTGCCAGGTGGAAGAGGGTCAAGACAATCGTAATTTGCGGCGCTGTCGCGTGCAGAACACGGTGCGGCCATGAGCGCGATGTTCTTTTAATAGGTGTTGGTCTGCAGATCGGAGTAGCAGCCTTCGTGTAGACTATAACATAGCGCACATTTGTGCAATTTCTTATACGCCTTCTATTGCCGCCCTCCACAAGCTGGAAACCTCTTGTACCTCGTCCTTTGTGTGGCGCGACGCCTACAGCATATTACAATTGCCTCGTTATATAGCTGAGCCAGGAACGCCGTGGTAATTCATCACAATTCGCCGAAAGAAAAAATATGGTGTCCAAGGAACTGCTTCGCCTGAGACAACACCACCGGGATACTCCGCCCTATGCCGCGCTGTGTTGCAAAGACGACACGCGCTAGAACGCATAGCGATGACATTCCGTTTCTGAGAGAGAGACATGCTGTGAATTCAGGCAATAACTGAAGGCAGTAGGCGAATCAGCTAGTGGGCAGGCATCAGCCTATGCGTGGTTGGTTGCGAAGGCGTTACCCACCCCTATCGCTCGAGATGGAAACTCTAGAAACTCCCTTCCATCGATGACGCTTGGTTTGCCCCACCTTCCAGGCAAGGGCTTGCTGCTTTGAATTGTCTGAGAGGTCTTGAAGATCCAGCGGTGTTACACTCGAGATCCCTGAGATCGGGTAGGCGTGGCCGCATGTTTCAACTTACCCTTAAGGCTTCTACGCTTCTGATGCCATATTTTCATCTCGACACAATTGCTGTCGTGTCTCTGTCCAACGCAGAACAAGATGACAGTTGTCCCAGACTGGAATATTCCACTAGTAACCAGTTCCGTACAGTGTTCGAATGCCCCGCCTACCCGATCTTAAAGGCACGTTCCGCGATAAACTAGGGCTAGGTTCTCATAACCGTGCCCGACGGTCAAGCAGGCAACGTCAGAGGCTATGCTGCTTACAAAAGTTGAAAAACAGCAAGCAAAACGCGGCGCGCTCAGCTTTTAGGCCCATTGGCGCCCGATAGGCCCATGCCGGCCTCCGGTGATCGTGTCGTTGTGACATTGCCATTGTGCTCTCTCGCTCGTCGTTTTCTGGCCTCTCTCGTCTCTTATCAGTGTCTCGCCGCCTTTTGCCATCCACAATCGATCTTGACCACCTTACGCTCGTCCGGTGATCATGATCAATTGAAATAAAGAGGGTCTTATTGCGGGCGCTTTTTCGTGGTTCCTTCCCTTCAATAAGTCAACAACCACAGGGCAATTCTATTTTTGAACTGTATTACCTATGAAGTGTGGTCGCGGGAATTGCCTTTAAGGATTTCGAGTGTACGCTGGAAAAGCTCCAGCGGAAGGCTGTGTTCGACCTAAGGGAATTTTTTCATAGTAGCATTTATCATTTATTTGGTGCTTACTCCGTGTTCACCTCGCTCCACGACAGTTTTTGAGAGGGGGGGGGGGAACTGGAAAATTATTGGAAAGCTGGGTGAAGTGCTACGAAATAGGAGAATTCAGGAAGATAGTAGGTAGGATGGGAAGGCGAGAGAGGGGTCGTCAGCAGGGAAATTCAGAAAGGAGTCGTATTCTGCCTGCGACAGGACTTGCCTGAGCGTTACAAGTTCAGCCCGTCGGAACGGATTTTGTAGGCGTCTCTTCTTTGGAAGCTTTCGAAATGATACTGCTACGTTCACTGATAGCCGTAAAATACTTTATAAGCTCTAAAGTAAGAGATTTCTGAGGGTAGTAAGTGAGGGCACTTCATGTCGGTGTGTTGTGGTCCGATGTGTCAAGACCGAATATTAGTCGATGGCCGATTTCAAGATTGTCTTCAGATTCAGAATCAGCGGAGGACAGTGATTGTGTACGTCGTGCTTCAGGCTGAAAACAGATAAGTCATGTGGAATAGTTTACGAAACACAGCTCGTGCTAACCGTATCTACTCGGCCAGGCCTTCCAGTGTGTCTTCCTTCTTGGTGCCCTCTCTCCTATCCTTTAGGAGGAAGCGACGAACCAATGAAAAGGCACTAAAGAAGAAGCCCAACAGTTGTCCGTTCTGCGATCAGCACGGGCTGCTCTTTCAAGTATAGTTTTTGATGGGAGACGTACCCGTGCGACAGCACGTTCCAAGAACTCGACGCAAGCGGCGTGTTTGAAAAATCGAGCATCGTCCAAGGGAGATCGGTCCCATCTGGAATTCACAGGTTTACACTAAGTAAGTGGCCACATGGTCTTGGGAAATAAGGCCGGAGAGGGGACGAAAATGATGGGAAGAAACGTTCACGCCGAAAGGCGATTAGAGGCAGAATGCTCGCAAGGGAGTCACAAGGGAGGGTGAGGGAGGATACTGGTTGAGGATCCACGTTGCGGTGACGGGGAGGGTCATGACGCTCAGTGACTTTCTCACAAGAGCCTAATCGATTCATAGACAACCCGTTAGCAAACACTTGCTGGTCCTACGCGTTGCCATGATGTGCATCTCCTTCCCGACGGCCGGTGAGCGACAGAATTCAAGCCCAAGTGACTATTAAGCAGGGAGACAAGGAGATATATGTATTTGCGGAAATCAGAAGGGGGAGAAAGTCAGACGGATACGGTGAGAGAAGCGGTGCAAAAATGGTCAGGGTTCATGCAAAACGATGGGGCAAAGGGCTGGAGTGCAGTTGGTTTTTTTCAGTTCAATGCATTCTTGAGGGTGAAGCGAAAATGGGTAACCGGAGCTCTCACCTAGGCGAACACAAGGCTGAGAAAAATAGGTGGGTGTCTACAATTATGTTTAAAACCGAGGTAGAGCTGACGGGGGGGGGTGATGGGCACGTACACACTGGTTTGGAAGTGTATCAAAGGGACGACCGGTCATATAAAACGGTCATCGCGTACATATACATTTAAAGGCACAGTTCGCGACCGCAAAATTGCGGGAAACGGAACTCAAATAGGCACAAAAAAGTGCTAAGTATCTGATTAGCGGAGAAAAGCAGCAGAAAAAGCAGTCCGAAATGTTATAGAGAAAGATAACATAGTGGCTACTAGCTAGTAGCTAGCAGCCGGTGAGGGTCGGCATGGGCCTAAGGGGTGTCCATGGGCCTAATTAAATTAGGGGTCAAAAAAGCTATTAGCGGCAAGTTCTTGCCGTTTTTCACATTTTGAAAGTAGCGCAGCCTCAAAAATCGCCTTCCGGATCGTCCGACACATTTGAGAGGTCATAGCCTTATTTTATCGCGGAATGTGCCTTTAAGCATGATCTCAGCTCATAGTTAGATGCCTGTGTTACTGTGGGCCGTTATAATCACATCTGTTTTGAAGGGAATTATGAAATCAGCTTTTACCTGTCACGAGCGTCTACATCCACTTTGGCTACGTTGACCAGAAATTTCACCATGTTGAGATCACCTTCACTGGCTGCCACATGTAACGGAGTACGACGATCGTAGTCGCTGGTGGAGAGATCCACGCCTTGCATATATAACCTGAAACAAGTGAGTAGCATCTTTTTTATCTCATTCTACGCTCGCCGTGTGGGCGGTGTCGGATCTAACCTTGTATCCTCCTCATTGATGCACCCGCCGCTGAGAAGGAAAAAAGGAGGCGCGTCAATGAAAAAGGCATAATAATAGGTCCAACTGCGCCCATACTACGAGCGTGGAACGTGCACCATGAATCGCCAGATGTGGCGCGCTAGTGCTGCTCAGTGCCTTACACAGATGAATCTGACAGTGGCCAAATAGCTATCCCTCCTCTTAATCGGTTCTTTTTGGACTGAAACTTATGCCTAGGAAAACAGGAGGGATACAGTATCTAGAACTGCGCGTCGATGTAAAACTCGGCCACTTGAACCGGCCTACGGTAGACCAATTGTGTGTGCTCACGGGATTGACACCTTTAATTCCACGCGCAATTTTTGGAGGCATTTTATGACGGCTGTCTCGGTAAGCTTATGATGTTGTCTCTCGATGAATAAATAAAGCAGCGCTTACCTGCGTAAAGCCACCATATCCCTCGATCGAGCCACATACATCGCCGGCATCACCGCATCCCGTTCACGGATATCCCGACGTCGTGGATCAATCTTATTTGACGTAGTGTGCAAAAGGCAATCGTAGTTGTGGAAGTTGAACTTGGCGATGAGTTTCTGTAAAGATTGCGCTGAAGTAAAGATCGTGATCTGAACCACTCCCTAGCAGACCTTGCAAAACTCGACACCACGACGGCTGTTTCCCAGTTTGTCCAGCGGTGGTGACCAAAGCGCTATGCCCATCACATTCGGCACCACTACGATCATCACGCCCGACACACCGGATTTTGCCGGTAGGCCTACCTAAAAGCACAAGATAAGCCTGAGTTCACTGTGCAGTACATCAACAGCTGACGCGTGCGGCCGCAACGCGGACGTACCGAAAACGAAAACTGCCCCGACGCGTCGTACATACCACAACTGTACATGAGAGATAACACATCTCGACAGGGGTTTGAATCTATGCAGATCTCATTCGTGATGGGACAGACACCTGAATACCGTGCAATTAAAATGGGCTGAAATAAAGTTGCAAGCTGAGCAGTGGCGCTGTTCGGCTTGGAAGGGGGGGGGCGGCGGCGTTTTGCACTACCGCTAATTCCTTTTCTTAGTTCATGCTAACTAGTCTCACTTTGTTAAGACTTTTAAACTTTTGTGAAGCACAAAAGTTGCAAGAGAACCACTTTGGTCACAGGAATTTGAAAGTCTTGAAAGTTTTCACTACATGACTTGCACAAGCTTCACTGAGCACTATTCGGTGCCCCCCAAGCCGAATGCGCCGAATTTCAATTGAAATGTGTGCTAGAATTAATCCAGTCAAACCTCCATTGGCCAGCGTAGCTGCCATTACGCTCAAGGATTCACAGGTGCCTTCTATAGAGCACAGTTGGAAATAGAAATCGATCGCATCCGTGAGTGACGTCGTCTTAATACCAATCACATTAGTTCTAGAATATCTAGTTGACGCTTCATTTAGAAAGTTGAACCATCATTGCTCGGAAATACATTCCACTTTGTCGTATGGGCGGAGACTGGCCTGCTAACGTGCCTTCCTCATTGGTGGATCCCTGCTTTCAGGGCGGGAAAGGGAAGGGGCGTATGAAAGGGCAAGGTACAATGTTGGCTGTCTCCCCCATAGCACAAGCGTGGGATGCGTCTCCAACTGTTGGGTGAGATTTCGTTTCTCTTCTTCACAAACTCACTAAGTTACTAGAAAAACTTGACAACTTACCTCAGGTGGGAAGCACTTCTTTTCTTTCATATAATATGACAAAGCATAATTCCGATCGGCTGTAGCTCTTTCGGATAAGAACCTGAATTGTTCAATTTAGAGAAAGCGTGAAAATGTTAAAAGCACAATCCGCACCGGTGGTGTGGACGGGGACATCCCTCTATTGTGCGCTCCTCACTGACATATCGTTTCTTTGCGTCTAGAGAAAAGGGAGCGCAACAACGAGGAAGTAGCCAAGTGTCTCCACCCTATGACAAAGTGTACTATGCCTACGCCGCTATTGCTTATGAGAAACTAAAAAAGACGTTTCTAAACATTCAAGGGGGTGACAGGCACTTTTGGGGCCACAAAAGCTTTTGAAATACTCGCTACTTTTCGGTCGCATCTGAAAGCGTATCGGGCCTGTACAGTCTTTTTCGCTGATGCTGGGGTGTCCAATGCGGTGTGAGTTTGGCGCGGCACCAGCCCGTTTTCCATCAATTGCAGAAGCGAGAGAGCGACAACAATTGGTGGGAAACGGGCTGACGTTGAGTTAAAACCAGACCCAATCACCCTCACGCGTTCAGCTTACTGCGAACATGCAGCGAACAAGACTGTTCACTTGAGTAGAAGCGCCAAATTGCAAGCTAGCATGCTTTGCCTAAAGACGAGAAGACGAGCACGACACCTCCTGAAAGTATTAGGTTGTCCCAAAAGTTCGTGGACATTTTTGAATCTCGTATCAGATCTTTTTCGCAGCCATTTCGAGATCCAGTTATGTGGTCTATGGGAAGTGTGTTAGGTAAGCATTCCACAGCTTCTTCACCGTCCCTCGCAGTCGCTGTTCTCATATGAAAAACGGTAATTGAAATTCATCATTTTCGACACACTTCGCTATATGAATCTCTACCAAGCCACAACGTGGTTGGAGCCATAAGCGGCATTTCCTTATTTAGATCTTGATGTTACCTTCCACAGTACGGCCTTGGAATGACCCGATCGCTCCCGCTTGAGTGACCTCTATCTGGGAGAAAAACTTCGTCCAAGGAGGCCACCTGCCTTGGATTTGGACCTACTGTGTTCCTTGATTAAACCAATTCGTACAAATCAACTTGCTATCTAGTCCTTACACTTGACTGGTCCCAAAGCACAAATGAGAGAGGGCCTCGCTTCCTTAGAAAAGTTCTGAAGTTCGGTCAAAATTTTTCTCATGAGTTGACCGGTACTCCCGAGCGCCAGCGGCTAGATCCCCCAGAAAGGGCAGAACCGATCGCGCAATCCTATCAATCCGGTAGGACGGTGAGACTGTGTATGTGGTGGGGTTTCTTTCTCCCTTTCCATAACGGAATTTCTTCCGCTGTGGTAATCTACGAACCCATATTGCAAAGGGGGGGTTGAAAATCGCTAACATTTGGTCCCAAAACCGAGCAATGTTTGCCTACTCCACCACAGCTCAGGGTCACACATTTGGAAAACGACACTGCTCGAGATCCCGAAGCTTAGCTGGGGAATTCCACCACAGTCTTCGTGTAGCCCTGACTTAGCTCTTTCCGATCGCCATCTAAACTAATCCCACAGCGGCCATCTTCTGGGTAAAAAATACGATTTTTGAGTACCTCAAAAATGACCCAGCTGCCTTTCTGGGCACAGAACCAAGAGGCTTCTGGAAGCAGGGCAACCACACATTGCGTAGTGATTGGCAAATGAAGGTTGCAATATACAGGGGGGGGCCAAAAAAGTCATTCCGGCCGAGTCACATATGAGCGAAGTTTTCGCAGCCCAGACAGAGGAAGTGGATATGAGTACCAGGGTGGAAGATACCCAAGATCTTCCTCTATAAGCTGGAGCACGCTGCCGCCAATCGCCTTCATGTACGCCAAAATATGAAGTCATCTCCAGTCGCGGCCTGACTGGAGAACACCTTTGGAATTCACGTCGCCTCCAAACAGCTGCGAAACTTCTTGAATGAAGTCATCCACAGATAGCTACCTGGAGGTCAGTACTCTTGATCTGCAAGACCTCCCACATCGACCAGCTACGGCAACGTCGCTACGGTCTAGGACATCATCTTCACCGTATTCGCCGAGGCGCGAGTTGATGGTATGGACCGGGGTACCTGGAAAGGGAAGACCGATATTTTCTTTGTAGACCCCGAGGTGAGCGCTGGCGGTTACATCAAGTAACTCGAGAAGAATATCCTCCCTACATGTGGTCGCCCGTACCTTGGAGACCTTGTGCTGCTACAGGTTTGGGTGCCACCACATGGAATCGAAGGGTTTTGGAAAAACTCCCGCCTACTTCGAATGGAAGGGCGTTTCGTACCTGAAGAAGATGTAATATTGAAGTATGTCCCCTGACCTGAATCCACTCAGTTACCTAGTCGGGCGGAGTTCAAGAGGGTGGTCTACGGTGGCGGAGAAATCAACGATCTCGCTCAACTCCGGTACCCACTCACTTTCGCGCGGCCGAATCTCTCGATGGCGCTCCTCCAGAAGGCTGTGGCGGAGTATCATTATAGTATTTAATGTGCTCTTTAATATGGTAGTAAAAATGTCCGATAAAAATTTAATAAAGTGTAACTTATAGCGCCTTGAAAGTCATGGAGGCAAAATGACTTTTTTTTGGCCCCCCTGTATATTGTTGATCAAAATTGCTTTCCCACTAAACTGAATTTTAACTCGAAAAAATGTAAGTTCCACGAACTTTTGGGGCAACCTAATATCACTAAAGAGGAAGGAAGAATCGTTTGCTTCTGTGTGGGTGGTGTTGAGATTTTCGTTCCCATACTGTCGAGACAGACTAGTGCTTCCGCCGTCAGTTCCCCGGTCAGAGTAGACTAGCTCTCAATTGGAGTGAAAAAGCTAAGTGGGACCGTTGGGAAGATGGTTCGCAGGAAGGGGAGAAGAAAAGGAGAAAAAATTCACTCACGTAGCATTATTGAAACCTATATATTCTCCGCCAGCTATTTTTCGATACTGCGTGATTACCTTGAAAATGTTCACCACTGGTTTCAATAGAAGTTAGAAATGAAACAATAACATAGACTCCACCCACATGGTCGAAGCGGTCGGCCATATTCCAGGTGTTCTTAATAAGCGCTGTGACAATGATGGCACCCGAGTTCACCATTGGATTGTGTGGCTTATCTGAAAAATGAAAATTCAAAAGTTCCTCTACCAGACGACCCTTCGCCCCCTTTTCCTTCCCACCCACTATCTTCCGAAATTGTTCCAACTACGTAGAGTAGATGGGGGGGGGGGGGGGGGGAGGCGTTGGCGCGCTTACGACCGGCGCGGTCCTGGGTTCAGGTGCCAGGTCGTCTCACGCCTGGGCCAACCAAGCCTTCTACCCTCCGGGGACGGTAAATTGGTACCAGATTCGTCTGGGAGGATAAAACACTGACTTGTACATCGGCTGGCCACCGCAAGTCATTGTATAGGCCACATCGCATTCAATAAGCCACTACGATTCTGAATGGAAGTAGAATGCGTGGCGCATCCCACGGGGTTGATCAACGGCGAAGACTATATCCTTTTTCATATTTTATGAAAGTAATGTACGAGTTTTCCCAAAAACCAACCACCAGCATTGACTATGAGAATCAACCATGACGGTCTATTCTGGAGCGCCGTCAACCAGGGGTGTAGCGCGGGGCGCGAGGAGAGCGATGTAAAGCGCACATGAAACGGTAAAACGGTGAAAAGCCATTACCGGTAAACCTTTTCACGACTTAGAAATGTTTCTCTCGAAGCTAGGTCCTTCCACACGTGACCAGGTATGACCCCCAATGGGATTCTCTCAGCGATGCTGTACCCTGCTCATGAACAAGAGACGCACTGATGAGTAGAGGAGAGCACATTGGTAGGCCTAAAGTGGTCAGCGTGGAATGTACCCCAAGTTCTGTTCTGCTTAGGCAGGCACCTGTAACACAAACCAGTTATCATTAGCTAACTTCGGGCTTACTTTTAGAGTCGAGGCATATCTCGTTGAAGAATCGTCCGCTTGGCTCCTGTCCCACATAGGAGTGGACATAATCAGCGCCTGAACAAAGGGCATAAGAGTTCATGCTGCACATGTTCGTAATTGATGGTGAATCTCCTGATATACGCCATGCATTCGACTTCTACCGACGATGGTTGTATGAGCAAATAGCAGTCAAAAATTGGGCGTGCTAACACAGATCTGCTACTCACCAGCTTGCCTGAACTTTACTTTTACATACTCATACTGCTTGTTTTACTTGTAGCCTTCGTTCTCACTGGAGAGGCGTATGATCCATCTTTCGCCAAGGGAATGAGATTAAGCCAAACTGATGTGCCTGGAAATTATTTCGACTAGGAATTTTCACCCAAACGTGGATTTAATGTTTTGGAGTATGGGGCAGCGTTCATGACGTCTGTGAAGAACCAACAAATCGGGGGAAAGAGGATGTTTACGTATTGATTGTGGGAATTAGCAAAATCGCGGAACTGAGAGAAATCGGCAAAAAAGACTAGAGAGGAACTGGTAGCTTGGCCCAGTGTGTGGTGTTTTAGGAGGATCAACGACTCTGCGGATTCCATAGACTCCGCGCGATTGTGAGGATAGCGTTAATATAGATAATTTGTGTTCCTTCTCTAACATTTCTGCGGATTCTCTGTGGATGAGACCTTAAGAGCAGGCGCAGTTCGGCTTGGTGGGGTCATGAAGTGGTACACAGCTCAGCCGTCACAGAACACTTTGTGAAGACCTGTGAACTTCTGTGACCAAAGTGGCTCACTTGTACTATCTTCGCAGCTTTACAGGAATTTAGAAGTGTGCAAGAACTTTCCTTCCTCCAGCCTAACGATAAGTGTCATGTATCGCAGCAGAAAGCAAGAAGTCTTTTCAACACCTGGCAAATGCCGAATACATGGCGCACACTCGAAAAAGTGCACTGAACCTATCTTACCGAGATCCGATGCAGCGATTGCATGTGGGAAAGCCTTGGAGACTGACTGTATACAGAAAGGCGTTTTTGAATCGCCGAAGGATATCTGTCAAATTACAGTAGTTATTTCATGTAGGTAAACATATAATAAACAGAGCATCACAGTGATGGGAAACATTCGCCTCTTCCCTTCTACCTCCCCTCAGACCAAACTATTACTTAGTGTCCTGCTGCACCGCGAGGGTTAAGCGCCAATAACCTAGTCAGAATCACTACAAGAATGCTGAGTTATGGGCAAAAGTCGAACCCCAGGCGGGAGTCGAACCCGCACCTCACGCTTTCCGGGCGAGTGCGCTACCCGTTAGTAGTCAGAACTGTTAAAATCTACAATTAACTTTGTCAGTTATTCTTATGAATCCTAGAGATGGAACTGTCCCCTAGAGAAAGAGGCGAGAAAGTTGATTGCAAGTTGTACAGACAAAGTCCCAGGAGCACCAGAACAAGGACGAATTTCCAATGAGTTGATGCTCTAACCATCACAAACTTCACCAGGAGCTATGGTCGATTTCTGTAACAAACTGACAGCCTCTGACAAAATGGCAAGGTATGAGTTCATAAGCGAAGCGGTAGACGCTTATGAACTCGTACTTGAGTGGCTCTTGCCTTGCCTCTTTAGCTCTTACCAACGGACTATACTATGCCTTCGGACCGAATGCTACCTTTGCTGACCCCAATTTGTACATTTTCGTCAATGTAAGTCACATAATTGCTGCCCGTTTACCTTCCATAGATTAGCCGCAAAATCGATTTTCAGATGGTTCAAGAGAAGATTCACGAGGTAGGCCGCCATTATGAACAGTGTGAAAGCGGAAGCACAGTCAAAGATTCTGTTCTGTGTGTCTACAACAAACATTAGGGAATTCCGAGCAATTCTCAAGGAATATTGTTATTCACATATTTCTTTCCAACGTTCCCGTGAAGACACAGCTATACACACAGCTAGCTAACGAGTGTCCGTCAATTACTAATGAGTTCTTGCCGTTTGTATCAGAGTGCGAGCTACAGTAAGGGCGACGTGCACAATGACAATTTTGACTTATGTGACACGATGAGACTCTAATGAGACTCATTCGTTTCCTTACACCCTACTGACACATAGCGTGAGCTACGCTCCGCACAGTGGAAGACCTCGCGTGAGTAGTGCGCAAGTTATTACTGGGTTCTTCGGGGGTGTTCGGGACACGACGTCGGAAACGCTAGAGTGGGGAAGGCGCTTGATCGGGTAGGTGACAAATTGAAAGCTTCGAGCCATTTTCAGGCCTCTGAAGAAGACGAGAAGGTCGAAACGTCGGGCCAATAAAAGGTTCTATCTAACAACCTCGTTTGGCAGAAATAAGTAAATATTCGACATCATGCCAAGGTTAAGAAGGACAACCTGGGTCATCTATCTAATTCATTTATTGCCTTCTATTGCGATCTGAGTGATGAAAAAGGAAGGGTTTAACAAGGAGGGAGCGCAATCATAAACTCTCCCCTTCCCTTATTTGAAAAAAAACTGTAAAAAGTAAAAGTGACGCACTCGTTGTCCATCGACCGTACAAACCGAAACACCCCACTTACTCAGCGTGGACTGCGATGCCAACGGTTGAGGTAATATAGTCTGGCACAGTGCCATCGCGATTTCGCAGACACTGAAAACGTTACTAGGGCGAAATCACATTATCTAGTAAATCCTTGTCCCAGAACTACTAAGCTATAGAAGAAGTTGTAAAGAACTTACTTCGTTATAGAAAACTCGAATTTCTTCGACGAAAGCACCCCATAATGGGATGACAAGGTTATTTTGTAACGCTTGAACGATCAAGTTCACACTGCATGCGACACATCTGAAATTGCATGAAAAATGGACGGTCCGTCAGAGGTGGGCGTGGATTGCAAACACTGGGCGTGAGGAGTGCTCTCGTGAGAGCGCATTCTGTATTTATCCGCGTGGGGCGCATTTCGGCTCGGGGCGGGGCGTTCTGCCCTGTGAAGATTAGTAAACTCTCAAAGAGTCACAGGGCAGAATGCCCCGCCCCAACACGCCTAGGCTAAAGCTTCATTTACACGTGACAAAAGCAAAAAAAGTCTCACAAAAGTGAGACATGTAAGCTGACAGGGACTGGTAAAAGAGGCTTATACTGGAAAAATGCTCCAACCTCCCTCTCCCCCTAAACTCTGAACCGAATAGCTCGTGATGCGGCTCCAGCGTGAAAACGAAAAAAAAAACATATCAGCTTGTTCTTTGCTCTCTGAGGCGTGTCAGGGACTGATTTGGCACGGCGCCAGCTCGTCCTTCACCAATATTAAAGAGGGCAAACAGCAACAACTGATGGAAAATGGGCTGGCGCGGTGCCGAAACTCGCCTAGCCCCTCTGACACGCCCAATCATCCGCAGCGAATAAGATATGCACCCGATATCACCTAAGTAAGTTGGGGCATGTCAGCGGCGCGACTCTTACAGTAGTGCAGCCCTTCGATCGTTGCCGCTTGGGATGTTCAATGAGTGGTGGGAAGGGGGCTGGAGTTACGCACCGAGTGACTTCTGTGATAACTACTGTAAGCAGAACGCAAGCCCATTGAGCATGGCTATCGATCTAGCAGAGAATCAGACCTCTGTGATCACTCTGCTTCTTTCTCCCCTGATTCTCCCTTCCAACCGGAGACACACCCATCCTGAGTGTCCTTTAGAACTTCTTTATGGTGTAATTGCATCCGTGTATTG